TTTTTTTTTATCAAATGTCGAAGAATATTTTGATATTATTGATTAAACCCTTACTAATTATCATTATTTTTGTTGTGAGAATTGAACTCTCTGAGAAGAACCACCAAAGTTTTGGGCAAACACAACACTTATCAATTGATTACCAATTGAGTATAACTTTCCATTTCTTTGTCCTTTGTTTCCCGAAATTTCACTTTTTTTTGCAATAGCACCACCTCGGTTCGTACCTTGATTCTGTGAAGTCACATGACTAATGGCAAGATATTCATTTGTTATATCGAAGAGCATCTTCGAGATTTCTCTGCTGAATGACTGTCAGTAGATTCCATGTAATTCTTTGCAGATGGCGCTCCAGCTTTATGGGCCGCTTCAGCAGCGGGCAAGTTTGAGGTCAGTTTAGAACGAAGACTTTTTATTTGGGTACTGAAGAGGGTCTACCGCTTGATCAGACTATCTGATCTACCAACCCATTCAGGTCGTGCGTCTTCTTGTCGAAGAAGCCGGTGCCAATATAAATCAAACAACAAACACGAGTAGTACACCTCTTCGAGGAGCTTGTTATGACGGACACCTGGATATAGGTAGGGTTTTCTGCTTCCATCGTTTACCTGCACAAAGTCAATTAATATAGAGAAAAGAGATTTGTCAATAGACTTTTTTGACGAATCGAACCGTTAATATCGAAATCTGTTCTAGCCGCGCGTACCCATTATTCACCACTCATCAATTTTGCGCCCTTTGTATCCTTTATCGGGAAAAGTTCGGATGTTGGGAAAAGGATTTTAACGTATCGAAGAGGCGATTAAAGTGTGCGATAATTTTGAGTTATTACAGTCCGATTTTTCGTTCTTTTCAACTTGCCCAGGTACTCGAATTTTCATGTTGAAGTTCATGAAATTATTTATAAAAGAGACTATTCTTATAAAACGTCTAATAATAAATCGAAGATTCTTTTCCATACAGTTTGTTGTTTACGCCTCATCGTCACTGGGGATATATGTCTCTATCAAGCAAATTACCTCTTGAGAATTCCTTGCTGATTTCATGGTTCTTTACCCCTTCAGAGGTATGTAACGCGATGTTTTGTGGCTATTAGAATATGTGACTTTATAACGCAACGCATATGATTCTGTTTCAAGGTGCTAAACAAGCATCGCATATGTCATTATACAGCAGCTGGTTAAAGCTTACTTCACGCGCTATTACACTGCATGATTATATCCCTGCAATCAATGATTCCCAGCTTTTCCCATGTATAAATCAAGAAGTTAAAAAAACGCTCAAAAAGGCTTGTAGACCATGTTGGACTATCAAAAATCCAACGCTTTCTTCTTCCTGTTCTCTGACCTCACTGACTTTCAGCTCCCTCAGTCCCTGCGTAGGGTCTGGTTTTTTTGTGGATACGCCATCAGACTTGAATTTTCCCGAGCGTTCGAGCTGGTCAGTCCCTAGCTGTGGTAATATATAGCGGCCCGCATTGGTGGTCGTCTACAAAGCGCACAGGTCTATTTTGATCTTATCGGAGTGTGACGGAATGTATGTGAAAAATGAGCGGTTGACGAGATTGCCGCTAGAACAGAAGAGTTTTCTGAAGAGGCTATTCGGAAATATAGACGAGGCGCGGAAATGTGTAGAACTAGAGTTGAAATTGGACTTAGAACTTACATCAATGATTGGTGAACACTTATTAAAGGTATAGATGGAAGGAAGATATGTTCACAAGCACACGCGTCCTTAGCTTATTTGTTCTATATCACTTTCTATTTGAAAGCTTTTTATGGAATGGTATATTTCGTTCTGGCGTTGTTTTTTCCCTTTCACGCCGCTCTTCCCTTTCAGCGAGAACTGTAGGAAAAGGATTAGTGTGAGATTTCTGACCTGAGCCAGATGTTAAATGTCTTGCTTTAGTGAAATATCTCGTTGAACACGGAGCTGATATCGAGGTAGCCAATCAACATGGTCATACTTCTTTAATGATTGCCGCGTACCGTCAGAAGGTAAGTTTGTAAAGTTATGACTTCAGATTATAGCTAGCAAATCATTTCAATTAGTTCAACGCTGAACATTCTAGGTCGAAGTGGTCAGGTATCTTATCAGTTGTGGGGCTGATGTGAATCGTAGCAGCAAAAAAGGTCTGTTGTCGATTTCAAGTTATGTCATCCTGAAGACAGCTTTGTTGCACTTCCTCTTGAATCTTATTTGTTTTTTTTTTGTACATTACTCAGCCTCTGGGTATTAACTGCTTGCTGAGCTTTTGTTCAAGATGATTCTTTTTGTTCTTCACAGACGAGAGTAATGACAGTTAATAGGAGTAAATTCCGAGTAATCGAGCTTTGGCACTGCTCTAAGGTACAAAACCGAGCGCGAATGGGCGTTTAACACAATGCGTTTAATACAATCCATTTGTGCCTGCTTAGATTAATTCTTCAAAATGGCATATGTCCATAATTTACCGCAGGCAGCGAAATGCAGAGGCTGCAACTAAAAAATGAAACGTAAAGCTGTGATTCACCAGTGTGAATTATCCATCATTTGAATTGTTGTCGTTAAATTGAGCATGACATTCATTGGGTCTGAATGATAGGCATGATATCGTTACGCAGTGCAAAGCCTAGTTGTATACGTGTATTGGGTTCCATACTTGATTTAAGGCAGCCAAAAGAATAAGTTTTGTACAAAAAAATTAAAATCTTGATAGCTTGATTCCGTGTACGTCAACAGTTTTCGCTTTTGGGACATCCGCTTACTAATATAGCTTACTTCCCTTACATGAGAGAGGAGAAAGATGGGGAGTCAATAATGTCATGCATTCCACTGTAACTTTAATCTGTCGTTGCCATCTCGCTTGTGCGTACCCTCTGATGATATGTAATTTTGCGTCATCGTAAAACCTGTGTCTGACGTTGTTTTGGTTCGAATAGTATGAGTCTTCCAGGAAATACGGCAATGCACGATGCAGTAGAAGGAGAAAATGCTGATGTATGCGCTTTGCTTCTCGAGGCTGGTGCTCGTCTCGTACCAGATGAGTTTGGAGTATGTCCGCTCATGTGTGCTGTCATGATTGGCGCAGATTGGGTGGGTGTTGCATGATATCACTGTTTTTTTTTTCGCTTTTTTTCGCTTTCGCTCGCCATGGTCACCCTCCAATGGATATGTCTTCTAGATTCTACCGATGCTGTTAGAACATTGCGAATCAAGTGAGAAACGCCGCGATGCTTTGAAACTGTTGGGTTGCACAAGAGTCGACAAAAAGATGGATATGGTAGGAGCGATTGAGGCATGGAATGATGCCCTCAAGGTGCCGCTAACAGATGAGGAGAGACAACACGTCAGTTGTGATCTCGTTTTTCATTAACCCTATCCCTTTTTTGATTAACCCTATCCCTAATGCTATTTTTTTGAACCCGGGTCGAAATTGTGACGTCATTGTTACCAGGAATTAATATGCTTCTGCATGTTTAGAATTCCAAGTTTTGAAACTTTCTATGGGGGTAGAGATTTAGGGTAGAGCTATCATCCCGTGACACCTACACATAAGGAACCTTGGGTGAGTATCCACATTTGGCTGAGTATTACTATACTCAGTCGATATTCTAGCGGGCCCGCGGGATTAACGTAGGGAGAAGAAAAAGAAGAAGACAGAACAAGCATTGTGAAAGCTTGTCCCCTATTTAGGTGCAAGAAGTGGCTGACAGTTTCGTAGTTCCGGACGTCTACGAAGGGCTGAAGGAAATCCAAACACCAGAGGATGTGCAGGCCATTGAAGACAATCCTGATGCTATTCGTATGCAGGCCAGTCTTAAAGACAGTTTCATTGCTTGGAGGTTTTCCTTTTTCGTGGAATTATTTCTTATCTGTCTGAAATATCTCGTGTGATTAAATAGGATATAAGTATAGGTTTTTCTTAAGCGTTTTCGAGCAAAGATTTTGCACAAAACATTTTTCATAATGTGAGTTCCAACACTAATTAACATCTATTTTTACCCCTCGAACAACTATTTTTCATCTGTTTTATGGTAAGGTTGAGGTACATCAGCATGTGACAGTGTTCTTTTCGATTACTCGGAAAGTTTGAATGATTTCATTTTTTTTGCCAGGCTCATAACTGGCAGCCAATAGTTGGGACTAACCGTACAGGACATCTCTTTGATAGTTCCTTGTTGTAGGTCCCCTTCCAAAGATTCTTTTTCTTTCTCAGAAACCGGCCGCTATGTGAAGAAGAGTTCACCCTAATAAGTGGCGCGAAATTGAGCGGAAACACCTCATTGGCGCCTAATTGCCGGCGCCGCTGTGATCGTGGCCGCCCTTGTTCATTCTAAGGACGACGAGCGACCTCGACTTGAGAATAGAGACACTTAACGCTCGAGAGGTATCTGAGCGTAATAATTCAAGAAGGTCAGGAAGATGAGATTGGCGAATATCCAAGACGATCTCCATTAATTCCAGTTGTTCAAAGGTCAGCGACGCACATTATTTTTGGAACTGTGGATGGCTCAGGAAAACATACAGACACACACTTGATTATCTTGATTTTTAAAGGTTTTTGAAAGTTTTGTCTGAAACGTAGTTTGAGGCCTGTGCGGATTCATGCTGATTTGGAGAGCTGTCGAATAGACTTCGAATCGGGCAAAGCGTCACCTCGTAACCACTTGCAGAAGCTGGACAACGAAATGCTTTTTTCCATTTGTAGTCGTAACCATCGTTAGCATGCTTTGTCTGTGCTCAACAATGCGCACAAATGTATTACACGCTTGCAGTTGTCGCCTGCAACAAACTCGTCACAAATGGCGTGACTCACGCGATGTCAGTACACCAGAATGTTAATGTTTAGCGTTGTCGTTGATAGAGTTCGTGGGTTCGGCGCTCCTTCCATTTCACATAATTTGTCATTTGTTTTGCTTGGCTGCCTCATTCATTCGGTCATGTCGGTTGTGTCTTCTTAGATTTGAATAATATCTGGTGGTAAGAAACACCCTATTAGTGTTTTCGAGAGAAGTAAGAGGCCTTTGCTAAACCGTTGTGGCGTTTGTTGCGACTGTAGAAGGTTGAGAAGGAGCTCAACGTCCGAAGTAGTAGAATCGTTCAAAGTGAGATGGTGATCTTCATTTTGCCCTAATGTAGCTAGCTCTTCATGCAACATGGAGCTCTTCATGAAACCCGCCTAAACATCCCTTTATGCCGTTTCCATCATGGTAGTCCCTTACAATTTGCTATTTTCACTACTTTCAAGAGGCCCTACATTTCGCGAAATTCTCGGATTTTCTCGCTTTTTCGCTACCGGTGCATTATTCTCGACCTTCACTTCCTCTTTTCAACTCAAAAGGGTACTTTTGAAATTCTTGTGAACTGGTCCTCAATAAAGAAACATCATGCTGGTTTCTGGGCGATATTAATCCAGAACTCTTTTTTCGATCAATATTTTTCTTATTTAGGCGTTGCTGATCCGTGAACGTATCCTTGGTGGAGCTCATGCTGACGTTCACTATTACCTTCGATTCAGAGGTGCCGTTTTCAGTGATCTTGGGTATTTCGACAAGTGTTACGAATTGTGGAGCCACGCGTTAGTCTTGCAGCAAACGTAGGTTGTTTACTTCTTATTCGTATAGAAAGCCACTTTCTTTTACTTGGTCAATAAACGCTAATAATTATTAGAGCGCAGCCGGTTCGAGGATTCGAATACTCGAGTATATTATTGTTCTGTAGCGATTTCTAGGAGGCATCCTTATCGTTTCCTGTCTGGATTATCGTTTCTAAGAGAAATTTGAAGCCATCAATAGTTTACCTTCCTCGCAACAAACTTTTTTTCTATCAATACTAGGGCATCCTCTGTACTAGCCGCCTGCTTTTTTCTTCTATAAGCTGCCGAATGACTATTTCGCATTTCCTGCGGTTTAAAAAAAACCTACTGAATTTTTCCTTTACTTTTCGCGCGATAAATAGCTGGTTAGAGTATTAATGGTGAAGTTTTTGTTAAACTTTATGGAGATTTTGTTCTAAAGATTGAACCACCTTGTAGACATCTCACGCCTCTTCACCTGTCAACTCAAACCATGTTCCAAGCTTTTCTGGAGACTTTCTTGCACACCCTAAACGATCGCGTAGTTCATATGGACAATGCAGGACGACGAAATGCGCCACCAAAGCAAGAGATTATCGCTTTTGTCTTTGATCGCGTCTGTTACGAATTGGAGAGGGTAAGCTGTTTTCAGTTGCCTTCCATTTATAATTCATTGTTTGTTTACGTGCGCATGACGGCATCGTGTTTGTTTGTTTCAGCTTGCTGATTGGGGTGAGCGTCCGCTTTCGGATTTATGCAACTGTGGAGAGGATCATATCCATAGTTGTGATGATGAAAAGAAACGTGTTGTACTACTTGGATTGCAGCTTTTATCTTTGGTGAGTGAACTGTTTTGGTTTCTTTCTCTCCTCATTGTGGTCTATCCTCTCAAATTCCTAATCGGTGGATGCCATTTCCAGGATATTTAAACATTCGGCTTCAAAATGAACCTGTTTTCAACTGAGGCAATTATTGCCGTTTTGCATCCTTTTCCTTCAAAAAATGCTCAGGGGTTTTCCCTGCGCAGTCTTCTATTTTCCCTTACTGGACATAATGAACCCCGATTACCTCATACCTGAATTTGTTTATGCCTAGATGTTATGCATGTAACAAACCATTTTTTGAAATCCTCTGAAACCCAAAGATTCTGGCTTGCTAAAACCGTTTCATATGAAATCTTTTCAGATGAACAGGTTGTCATTACCGATGCATAACGATGACGATGAGCACTACATCATTGATATTTGTGAAGCTGTTGATGATATTAAGGTTGGTTTCATTGAGTGCCTAATGACTCAGAATTTGATGAAATGACTGGTGAAAAGGTAAATTCATTTTACCTTTGATTTCCACATATTTCGGAGGTGTTCTTTACAGATTGATGTAAAACGGTTGGTGAAAGTATGCCACGAACTTAAAATCCCCTTGCTTCATCTTGCTGTCAAGGAGAACGATTTTGCCGAGTACGAAGGGTATGTTATTGCGACTCGAATGACTTTATGAAAAACTGGAGGAGATTTTCATGTTTTTACAGTATACCATCACATTTCGTCGTCGATCGCTTATTAGGAGCAGGCGTTTGCGTGAACTCAAAGGATGCAGATGGCGATACCGCGTTGCATGTTGTGGTAAAAAATATCCATCCCAGGTTTGTCAGTCTTTTTTTCTTTATCTTTTTCCTCAAATAAGTATTCGCTCCTACTTACTGCTATCCTATTACGGATTATACGATTCTTTTTTTATTTTTTTATATTTTTGTTTTTGCCTAGTTCTAGGTATTCTATCGGTAATCGAATTCGTAAGCTCTCACGCTCAACTAAGAGTCACAAATTTTTGACATAATGTTGAAAAGGATTGAGATGATGTAGTGGGAAAGATATACTTTTGTTAATATTTGATCCTCCTGTAGACCTATGCTTTGGGCAATTTCACCCCTAGCGCTCAGTACTCAGTTTGCGAAAGTTTTTTTGCAACACTTTCGGTCCACTCCATGACCTTTCATGATGCATCTTTATAGGATTGGGTCATTGTAGTGTTTAATGGGTACGATTCAAAGAGAAATCCCCGTATTTCTTAAATATGTTCACTCGTACATTGCTGACCCTTCTAGGTATATTTCTTAAAATTTCGCTAGCAGTACCAGAATTTCCTTTAATGTCGTTCAAAAAATGGGCACAGCACACTGGTTCACATATTCATATCGTTTTATGGCCTTAAAACTAGAATAATTTCGTTATATAGAAGGTGTTCCTTCTCTCGTTGAAATTCCACATGCTTTTAGACGAATAATTTCGTTATCTAGCAGATGTTCAGATGCTAACTCGGGGTGTTCGAATTTCCTAACAACTTTTTTTGGCTTTTTGACGTCTTTTTCTTTTTTTTCCCTTGCACCCTCGAACTCAGTTGAATCATAAATTTTGAACGACGTATGAACATCTGGTTGATCGTCATCCTCTGACAGTACGTTGCTTAAGGATGAGCATCATTCGACTGCTTCTGGATTACGGTGCGTATGCTCTGGCACGTGACGCGAATGGTGATACTTGTATTGATATTATTGCAAAACGAGCTGAGCCATTGCAACCATTTTTCCATCCACTGCGGATTGGTGAGTTTTCCACCTTTCTCTCTCCCCATATATTACAGTTTTTTCCTGTGCTTAATGTGCTGGTAAGGAGTCCATTTCCGGCCTTGTTTCTTCTACGCTACAGGCTTAGTGAAGGATAAGTAACTCAGCTCTTAATGTTTCTGACAAAGAAGGTTTAGTAATCCTTGAGTATACTTCAGTAGTTCACAGAAGGTAGATCGCTGATGTGAAGAGTCCTGTGGCGTTTTTGCAATACAACATGGAGGTTTTGTAACGCGGGCATAGGTTTAGTAGTAAGTCGCAGTAGATGTATCAATACTGAGGGTGTCTTTCAATTGGATCTCTCAGAGTAAATTCTGTGCAATGAGATGGTTGAGAAGTATTCCGTAAACCTACCTTTGATAATGGCTGCATTAGCTTCAGAGGTTTTTCTGCGTGTAGAAATGCTGCGTGTTTGCTTTTTCTCCCAGTTTATTGCCTATTCGCAATGAATGCATTCCAGGAAAGTACATTACCTTGAAAGGTTTGGCAGCAAATGTGGTCCGAAGGAACAATATTGCTCACGCTGGAATCATTCCACAAGACCTGCTATACTTCACGGAGTTGCATTAGCATCCATACAGAAAGCAGCGCCTCATTTCGTCTGGAAACCTCGAATTGATAGTAGTCGTGGATTCGACATATTTCCTCATTTTGGAGGCATGTTTCATGGCGCTTTACTTTTTTGTAACTAATTCTTTGCAACGAAATAACGGGTTCTGTGGATTTTTTGTAGCATTACGAAGAAGATGAAATGGTAAACGGCGGGCTTGTTCCTCAATAACTTAGATGCTTTCATGCCTGTTCGATAGTGGTAGAGAACCTCGTTAAACGAATTTGTTGCTTCTGTACCTTCAGTGGATTTTCAGTGATGCTGGGTCATCTTATTTGTAGTGTGGAACTTCTTGGTAACAATTTATGCTTCGTAGCAGAAGTTAGTCGAATTACCTCACTTCAAATAGAGTATCTAGTACTTTTCTAGAAAAGTCTTAGAAGGATTAGCTTGTAAATTTGTGATTGGAACAGATTTCTATGACTTTCCCCCTGATATGTGCAACCAGATCGGATTTTTTTTNTTTTTTTTCGAATTTAAAAGCGATCCGTGCAATTCAAAGGCCTAATTACAAGTTTTTTTGTAATTGTTTTGAGTTAAGGTCAAGTCGCTCAAATCGTCGTCCCAGTAAATTATACTAACAATTCGCCATGTAAGTATAGAAGGTCGTGTCTGGAAGTTCTTTCTGTACTGTAGCTTCGAGTGCCAGTCTATGTACTAGAGCTGATTTTGTGGTCCTTGTTTGTCCCATCGAGCATGTTGAGGAATGAGTATTGATTTTGCTCGGGGGTTGTCGCAAACGTATGGCTACTTCTACACTCATGGACCTTGCTGCCATTGCCTGTGTGAAGGCTAGACTTGGCGTAGCTCACGCCAGCTGCAATCGATAAATATCGGCTGTGTACCAGCGAAATCAAGCAGCAGCAGTCAGCTGCTTCTACCAGCGATGATGGCAAAACTATATGGCCCTGTGTAACTTTTGTTCTCGTGTTTTATCGAATTACTAGAAAAGAAGGTAGAAAGGACGATTTGATTGCTATCGATTGATTGGCATGACGTTCCCCTTCCCATCCGAAGCTAACCAGTCGATGTAGGTTTACCAGCGTGGGTGTAGATAACAAAATGAGTGGGTCAGTAGGGGCTTTTCAAAAATGTCCATAGAGTTTTATAGCTGCAAAGGTAGAACGATTCGTCACTTTCGATTCCTATTAAGGCAGGCGTTTAAAGTGTGTTGCCATTGATCGTTTTCTCATTACGTTTCCGTAGTCTTTATCTCTAACATTGTTCAGATGATTGCCATATATTGCGATTGTTATGTTTTGAACACAAAGCGAATTTATTATATACATACATATATATTTATGCCTTTACGAGTGTTTGATCCTTGTTTTGCATTGTCCCACTCTTGTATTTCAATCTAATCGATTATTGATTTCATACGAACATTGTTGTTACAAGTGTTCCTACTGACATTTAATCGCTTAGTATGTGGTCTGATAGAGTGTATATAGTCCATGAAGATTTCTAAATACTTTTTTATATCAATTGAGTGTGTAGAAAGGTGCTTGCACAGAAATGCTTCTGTCAAACTACCAGCAAGGTTGTGGCATGAGGGTGGCTGTGAATAAGGCGGTTTCCAGGGAAGTTCCATGAATCCGAATGTCACGTATTACTCGATTCAGTGAATCAAGAGGCCGAACGGTTGGGGCGCACGACAGATACGTAAGTATAAACGCACTAATAGTTAATACTCAGGTATTTCATTAAATCGGATGTTACGGACGACTTTAGGTCAGATTGTTGTAGGCTTTCAGTTGCTGATGAAGCGTAGGCTGTTAGTGTCCAGCCTTTTTCAAATACAACCAGAAAGTATGTTACCAGAGGGGCCAAGAAGTGGTGTAAGCAGTTCGAACCTATTGACGCCTTCCAATAGAGAACCTTTATTTAACGACTAGTCCTTGCCTGTTTATTGTTCTGTCCCTCTCTCGTCTATCAAAGACCTATCAATTGTATATCCCAGACTCGTGGGCAAAAAATAATATCGAGTCGATTGTTCCGGCGTTGTCGGAGGCGATGCTGAGATGATTGATGTGGTGGATTCAAACGTGCAATTCCCACGAGCACCACGTCAGAGCTGGTGATCGTTCCGCTCAAGGCAGAAGATGGTCAGAGCACATGACTACTCCAGCGCATTACTTGTGCGACATTTCTTATGTTTCTTGTAGGAACCTATGGCGTATTGACGTCTAAGTAAAATGTTCAGTCAAGAAATATTTCTTCACTTTTTTGAAGTGTCTAAACATCAAATTTTTTCCTTAGCCTCAATTCAGTGTAGCACTTAGGGGTTGAGCGTAAGCTGCCGGCGACGGAATACGCTGCCAAGCAAAAAAGTGGGGTGTGCAGACAAAACCGTCATTTATTTTAACATCGAATTTCTAGCTCGGTTTACGTACTTAGCTTTGAAATTTAGGAAATTACGAAAAATCTAAGTGATCTGTAACCAGAACTGGCTAATTGAGATCTAACGTGGAGCTCAGAAAACCGCTCGTAGCTTTAGCGGATGAAGAGTTGTGGATTCATAGAATGTTCCACCTCATCAGATCTCGATCCAGAACCAGCCTATTTTTTCAGCTTAAGAATCCGTTCAATCACTTTGTGCAACAAGTTCCCTTCTTCTTCTACTTCTTTTCCTCTTCTTCTTCTTCATCTTTTTCTTTATACCTTTTTTTCTTCCTTCTATTCTCTCATTGATTAGCGTGAGCTATCGAC